AGGGAGGGGGCTGGGGCACCTCCTGCTCTGCTTGGCTCCGTCCCAGCTTTCGGGACAAAGGCTGGAGCGTTTCCACAGCTGAGCGCCAGTGCCTGGAAAGCTGCTGGCTGCCAGCACCTGCTCTGTGGGGCTGCCGTGGTGCGGGCTCCAGGTCCTGGCTGCTGCTCTGGCTGCTGCTAGCGGAGCTCATGGTGAGGTTTCAAGGGGCTTCAACTGGTCCCTGATCCCCCCCAGAACGGCAGGGAGTTACCCAGACCCTTCTCCTACCCTTCCCCTCTTCCAGCTGGCTGTCCTGGAGGACTACGCAGATCCCTTTGATGCGGCGCAGGTGGCTGGTAGCCAGGCAGGGCTGGAGAAGGTGACGGAGAACGATGGCTACATGGAGCCGTATGAAGCCCAGAAGATGATGGCTGGTAAGGTGGAAGGCTCCGTGCAAAGGCCACTCTTTGTGCCTCTGGTCCCTGCTGTGTGAATTTGGTGGCCACTGTACTCTGCTCCTTGCAGCTCGTGACAGCACTGGGTCCCCCAGACAAGGCGAACCTGGGCGATGGCTGTGGCGGTGCACAGCCGCTTTACAGGCAAATTTTCGCAGCTTTAGCTGTGTGCAGTTGGTTTGCTGTAGCCAGAGCACTCGCAAAGGCGACCCAAGCAATAAAGGCACCTCGATATTTCTCCCTGTGATGCTGCCTCCTGGGTCCATGGTGCCTGCTTGCCAGGCTGAGCCAGGAGAGACCTGACATTCGATGCGTCTGACAGAAAACTAAGATGGATGTGGGAGCTATTTAATTTGGTTAGGACTGGGCCAGAGCGTGCCGTTGTCTGCTGCAGCAGCAGGGTCCCCAGTGGGTTTGTTTATGGCTGGAAAGCAGGCGAGGTGAGAGCGCGCGCTCCTGAGGGCATCGCTCTTGCTGCTTGTGGTGCACCCAGGGTCGCCGTGCCCTTGCACGCCCCAGGCTCTGGCTCTGCTTTGCAGTGCCGTGGTTTCCTGGAGTGAGCGGTTTCTGGAAAGCTCATGCAACTTTTTGGACTAGACCGTTGCGTTTCTTGGAAAAATCAGAAAGCGGTGAAGAGGCTGCTTGCGTCTGTGAGAGAAACTTTTTTTTTTTGCTTTAGGGAAGGGCATTCTAGTAAACTAGCTGTGCTGGGTGTCCTGGGAAGACAACTGGCCTTGCTGCTTGCAGGGAATCAGGCTCTGGGAAGCTCTGTCCCCATGGACCCTGCTTTGCAGCGCTGCCTGAGAGGGGGGATGTTGCACTGTGGGGAGAGAAGGCATCTTGGTGCTGCGAATTGCTCAGGACCTCACTGCCCAGCAGCTCCTCCGCTGCTGGCAGGTGCTTGCTGGAGGTCTGGGGGGGGTCTCCTCCATCACTGATGCTCCCTACCCCATGTCACCCTCAGGTGAAATCGAGCCCTTTCATCTAACGGGGCTTTGGGAACTGTAGCCTGTCTGTGTTCAGCAAAAAGCTCACAGTCTTTTCCCTCTTCTGCGTCTAGAGATCCGCCAGAAGGGCTTACGGGAGGCTCCCGCCCGGCCGCTGCACCTCTACGACACTCCCTATGAGCCTGTGCTTGGAGGGATGGACACGGACAGTGACCGCCCGGCTTGCCCCAGGCCCAGGGAGTCCCGGCTGCCTGAGGACGACGAGCGGCCGCCAGAGGAGTATGACCAGCCCTGGGAGTGGAAGAAGGAGCGGATCTCCAAAGCCTTTGCAGGTGAGCGATGGGAGC